TGCCTATTAGTCGGGTTCGAAATACTGGGCTATAGCAACTGGCGACGCCGAACTAACTGGGCCACAACAATTGTCTTGCCTTGGCGTGAATACACTTCTCCTCCTGGCCGATTGACTTCTCTTATTCCCTTGCACTGGGTCTTGGGGACAGCAGAATTCGTGCTAATTACAAGAAACAGTCTAAATTTTGAAATGTTCCGAAATTGTTTTTTTTTCTCTAAGCCTGGCAGACGGTCCAGTGCTGTCAAGAAGCGCCGATTTTGAGCCCCGCTCCATAGCGGCGATTTAAGGGTGAACTGATGAACTTGAATGTTGGGGCGGTTCTGATTAATGGCGATAGACTGGGGCCAACAGTTGAGGGCGCATCAAGTCCGGCAAGTGGGCCACGGTTGGCCAGGCTGTCGAGATGAATTCCAGTTTTCATTGTTCTCGACGCTTCTCCTTGGCCTCCTGCATTCGAATATTACTCTGCCATTCCCCGTCAAAGTTGATTCCATCGACAGACCTGTGCGAAACGTCCAGTTCAATCCAGACAATCTGGCGCCTGTAGCGTTATTGCATGGAGCACGACAATCATCAGGCAGAATCCCAAATGGTTGGTAAAATGCAGAAGGCACTAGAAGGAGGACGTTATTGCGCACAGAACCCGGAATTGCTGTCTCAGTGACTTATTTAAAGTTTACGGACACAGTAAGCATACACGGTCGAGTTGAACGGCAAGACCGGACTTGCCCAGACATGGTAGACTGGAGCTAGTGTACCCTATCTGCATGCTGTCAATAACCTTTCGACATTGGTTGCGGCCACAGTACTCCCACGAGATCTGATTGGTGGTCCATGCATGACTGCAGGTAGTTGCTCAGTCCTTCTAGAACATTACTCACGCAGCGGATTGGACAGAATAAGAGCCAACCGAAACAGGATGCTATAAATACACGCCGCCTTTTAGTAAGGATGACTTGCAGGTATTAACTGCCTTTTCTCGTGGCAAATTGTGTTTCCTTGCTCTACCGTGAGGATGTTGGGGCAACAGCCGAAGACACACCAGCATTCCGTGTCCCCACAATTTGGCGAATTTAGTGTTAAAATACTTACTACTAAATTGATAAAAGTAGAATATGCAGGGATATGCACAAATGTCAAACCTACAGATCAGATAGAATCTGCGCCTCAGTCAGACCAAAGTTGAGCAGGCGAGCCAAATCGCCATGGACAAGATTCCAGGTGGGATTAGATGGCAGGCCACCCGCGAGGTAGCCCATTTCCTCCAGGGAGATTCGCCACTGGGGAGACTCGGCATCACTAGGCTCGCCA